ATTTCTATGTCCTTATAATGTCAACAAATTGGGATATTCAAGACTAATTTAGGGCCTGATTCAAATTCCACTGCAGTTCCTGACACATTCCCACTAACTGCAATGAGTTTCAGACCTGACCTGCAGAGAAATCACAGTATTAATTACCACGCTGCCTGTATGAAAGGGCATTTCTTGTTGCAGCTCGCCCACATTCGGCCCCCGCGGGTTGCAGAGTCACCAAGGCAGCATAGGGAGCCACAACCCACAACCTACCTAGCTGTAGTAAATCAGCTTGGGCTTCATCCATCCGGGGATCTTGCTGGTGTTACTTAGTTCCAGCTGACAGCTCTCTCTGTTAATTGGGCTAGAAAAAACAAAACAAAACTAAGCTGAGTGTCAGTGTTGCAATCCCTTCTCTGAGTGTAGTGTAGCTTGTAAGCATGAAATCACTGTCCCTTTCCTCACCTGTGGTGTTTTTCCTTCTGAACAAGAAGGATACACAGGAAAACCACTAAAAAAGAAGAGTGCCTGAAAAAATATCCAGGTGTCAGGAAGGAGTGAATTTAAAACGAAAGAACAATAGAGCAGAATAGGTACTCTAACTAAATGAGAGCATGGCATTAACCTAAATAAACGCCAAGGACAGAGGGCTGTACCTACAGTATCACAGCATTGGTAAGGAGTATGATAAGGACTAGTGGAGGTAAAAGAAACACAGGGATAATTTAGACTGATTATCAAGACACAGCTCTTTTCACTGTGTTACAAACCTCTAGGAAAGTATCACAGAGAGCATGATACACTTGACAGTGCATTAATTCCTTAGGCTTGATCCTCAGCTGACACATTCGAGAAGCCAGCGCAGCTACACACATTATATGGATAGCCTTCAGTGTCAGTAAAATGGACTGGGTGATCTAACAGAGCTGAGCAAATATCACAAAATATTCTCCAGAAATACTTAATAAAATAAAACTGAGTTCTCTTTGGTTCGCATTTCTTCCCCTTTCTCATTCCTTTTCTGGAAAATGGTATATTTGCAAAGGGGAAGCTCTCAATGGACCAGTCAAGGAGAAAGAATAATTATGGAGAAATGTAGGTTCCTGGACCATAGGGAACTGCATTTCTCTATATCCTTTTCACGCTTTAACCCCTGACCTTAACAAACATTTATTCTGGAAGAAGCATTCATGGAAACAAGGCATTTCAAATCATACTTTTGAAGTGTTTGCTCAATGTGACCTTGAAGCAAATAAATATACTTATCAGCTGGAGTGACATTCTTCCTGTCAGAGAAGAAAATCTGTACTTTGAGACATATGTGGCTCATTACAATTCCTCAGCATTCAAACTGTTTGAAAAGCAACCCAATTTCCATTCACAGAAATCAGCCCTGGCACCAACATTAAAAAAAAAAAAAAAAAAAAAAAAAAAAGAAAAAAAAAAAAAAAAAAAAAAGGTAACTAGCTAGAGCCTCAGCTCTTCAGTGAAATCAGAAGACCTAGTGCTAAAGCAGCAGTTTAAGTAATGCTAGCTTCACTGAACGGTTAGTTGAAAGAAACTCCCAGAATCTGATCTGAGGGCAGTTTGGGTAGGTTGGCTACTTGGGAGTCTCAGAGTTCGAGCATCTTGACCTGGCCCAGAGTCCAGTCTTGCATCGAAAAGCAGGGAAACACCAAAAGTCACAGCTAGCTCTCACAAAGTTTCCAGATCCCTGCTGCGGAACCAGGAGCCAAACCGTCGTTAGTGCCTGGAACCCCACAGCACATCTAAATGGATAAATAACATTTTTCAGGGCCTATTCTTTGCTTTCAGGCCAACTGGCATAACCTAACTTTTTTCCATATGGCTGAACTTTCTTACCTTCCAAAACAGGATAGCCACATCTACACTGCCTTTGAAAATAATCCATGCCCTATGCTAAACCCCAACACGTATCCAGGCATTAGAGACTTAACTGGGCTGGGTTAAACCGGGCTACTAATGTACTGATGTAGACAACTGTGTGCCAGTAAATAGCCCTTTCCCCTGACTGTTTCATTTCCTGGTACATAGATCTAGGCTTAATGCTCCTAAAAATGGACAATCAATGTTTCCCAGTCAATTTGAGATAAATCCTGAAGTCACAAAGACATTTGTAAACAAAGAATGAGAAGATCTGGGCTCTTTTAATTAAGTTACTTGCAGTGTGGAATGGACCATGGATCGCTTGACGTGTTATGAAAAGGCACTCACTCGTCTGGATAGTAGATGTATTTATATTATCCATTTTTTTGTATTTTCTTGTTTTTAATTTTTTCCTTTATTCCGCAATTATCTTTCTTTTTTGATTCCGTACTCTGACCAGAAGTATCACCCATTTGTGTCATATGATTCATAATTGATTTATATACGAGCAGCCTGCCATACCACTAAACCAATTCAGTATGTGACCTCAAATGAATTCAATCTGTCATTAGTCATATACTAATGTGAAAAGGAAGTCTTATATGACATGGCTTTATGTGCAGGACAATAGAAATCAACAGCACATTTAGGTAAAATTTCCAGGAATTTTCTAAAATGTATTTTATTTCTATACAGGCATGTTTATTTTCTATTTCAGGATACATTTTTGAGTAAAAATCACAAGTTGTATGAAATCAGAAATATTCATTCATTTTTTGCTCTTAACACTTTTTGATTCTATGATAATAAAATGCTATAGAAAACTGTAAGCTTGCTTAAAAGTTGCCTGATGTGGGACTCCCCGTCTCAGACTGATCTCATGGCACTTTCCAGGCCTACTTGATCACGACTGCCAGTAGATTAACTCAGCGTTTATCCACTTAGCCAGAAAGATCCCAGAATGCTTAACACAGCCTCACTGGGCAACCTGTTCCAGGGCTTAATTATCCTCACAGTGATTTTTTTTTTTTCCACATTTCCTATCCAGACCCTCCTCAGTTTCTGTTTACGACCGCTGCCTCTCGGTGCTGTTCAGGATGAGAAGAACTCAGGCTGCAGTCTCCTGCCATCTGAGGAGAGTTCTACCTATTAGATTACCAAAAAATAATAAAAAAAAGCAACTCCTGCTCTACGTTAGGAAGCAAACTTGGCAAAATTAAAGCAGGATGCTATCAATTTCTCGTGCTCTGCAGGACAGAGGTGGACAACAGAGACTCCACAGAGCTGGGTAGAAACAAAGGTAATAGCTTCTCTGCTCACCACTCTGTGGTTTTGAAGGAGAAGAGCCAAATTCCAATCTAGCTGACCACAATGATACTACTGGTCTGCAGGTTTCAAAACCTGTTCAGTGACCAGCCTGTGCTTGAAACACAGCAATCACCAACAGACTTTACAGTAAGACTGTATGTAGAGGCCTACACACAATGCTAACAGTGCCATGCACTATAGGGTTTGAGGGAAAGCAGAGAATGGAGAAAAGAGTGAGAAAGTGCAGGGAAACAAAGGGCAGACACAGGAAGGAAGCATACAGAAAACTCCAGAATATTCTGTCAGTAACTTTTGTACTTCCAAGTATGGTCCCAAGTGGAAGTACAAGCCATGGCCTAGGGCAGTTACATAGGCTTGTGCTTTTTAATTTTCTTTTTTTCTCCCTAAGATTCAGAGAAGAATTCTAGAAGTGTTATAACTATGTAAATTGCAATGGAAAAGAATAAGAAGCTGTGCCTGATGTTGGTTAGGTAAGATATAAAACAAAATTATTTACCTGAAAAAATAAAAATAGCTGCTTTATTTTAACCTCCTACAAAGCAACAGTATTGATTCCAAGAAAAAACGTACAGAGAGCAGATAAAATAATGGCAGTGAAGTGCTGCTGACAGATGTATTTCAACAGCATATTAGAAATGACCCAGATAAACGTTTTGGAACCTGAGAAGCTGGCTGTGTGATGAGTTTTGCCTTTCACCATCTTAGATATAAAAGTGGTTGATAACACCGGAAGTGGCTTATTTTCTCTGAAATTATAACCAGATAAGAGTTAAAACAAGTAGAACATTGATGTTGCTTAGGCAGCATCAACACCCCTCCGTGTACCAGGGGTTTTGTCTCCTCAGAAACAGAGTTAAGGAGGAATGAAATGCAATTTGCCTCTGAGCTCTGCAGCAGCTATCAGTTGAAGTGAGTAGCAAGGGCACAAGGTGATGTGGACAGGGAGGCCCTCAGGACACCTAATAATGATTTGCTGAATCTGTGGCCTTTAGGAATCCATCCTTGGACCCGTGTCAGTGGAATAGCAGAAAAGGGGGAAAAGTATAAATTTCTGCACCTTGTTGAACTGTTACAGTGTTCCCTCTGTTCTTAGCTGCATATATGGCAGTAGAGCAACGGATAATCGGGGTCTGCTTGTCACTTCAGAACAAGCATCTTGTCACAGCACATCACATCCCATCCCATTTAAAAGAGCATGCAGGTAAATCTAATGGCTACCGAGCAAAAGAAAATATGTTTCCTCAGCTTTTATAGGGTGGCTGAATGCCCACATATCGCACATCACACTGTTCACGTCTTTCTGCCCCTGAGTCTGAAATAAGATTTGGCCTTTTACTATAAGGCCTTCTTTACAACAGGCAGTCACACAGACTTGTCTAACACAGAGTCACCAGGAAGGAACAGCTGGTCATGAAAGACTAAGGTTTGATTACTTCAGTGTTCAGATAACAATTCTCTTGATTTTCAAGGATTTTTGGTCAGACTGCCACTGCACAAGTAGTAATTATCCATTTTTCACTTTGCTCAGCCAAGCTGATGATAAAAGCACATGACCTGTAAAAATGTGAAACATGGTTTTATCCCAGAAATCATTGCACTGAAAGTACTTAATTTTTAATGCAGTTTTGTGTATTAGTGATTAACACCTAGCTGATTTGTAGACGACTTTTGACCAGCTTGAGGCTTGGAGTGTTTTAGGATTGTTTTTTAACAGTCTATTGGTTTATCAACTTATTTACTGATAAACTCCAGGTCTGTCAGTCAGTTTCCTTCCCCGGCTTAGAAGGAACAGTAGTGAATCAGAAAGACCATTGCAGAGGTGGAATGGAGAGTCAAATTCAAACACAACTTGTCCACATAGATTAGAAATGGACTACTCAAATCATTATCAAAAGGACTGGAAAAATTCTAAGCCTACTCATTTCCCAGGGTTTAAAATATCTGAACTTATTCTGAACTCTAATAGTATGTATGAGCTTTTTGTTCACGAAGACTAAAGCAGAAAATGACAGTGCAAGATTTTCTGCATTATTACTCCAACTATACAGTAATGTACATTGCAAAAAAGAAAAATAAAGCTTTTCAGATGGCAAGTTATTCACACAATAGATGTAGATATTTGGATGGTCAAAACGGAAAATGCCTTTTGTAACCGGGACATCCATTTAAAGTAAAATTCTAGGTTGAAATAAGTAGAACTTTTCCTAAATACTCTGAATGGTCAGATGTCCTTAGTTTTCCTTGTCTAAACAATGAAAACTTTGATCTGCATAAATACCACAATACGTAACAGGCCCTCCATGGTATTTTTAGTCTAATTGAGATTTACCAAATATTCCATGTGAAAGTTCTTTTCAAATTGCTAATGAATAGAGGCTTGTAAATTGTTGATGCACAAAGGCATCAACATGCCTGTTGATGCACAAAGTATGTAATTATGAATTAGGCATACTCTGATACCAATAACAATTACAGGCATTCACATTTTTACCGATGTGAATTTTTCAAGACAGTGAGAAACTTAAGGAGGCACAAAAATTAGTGTTTGGCACTTCCTGATATACGGTATATTTTTGTTGCTATATTTATAAAGTTTGGAGAAGCCGTTTCATTACATGGCAAATTCAGTAGCTTTACAAACTTCCAGTCTTTGGCTTTAAAAAATATCTTGCTATTTAATTGAGATGTTATTGAGCTTTGGAAACACAACAGCAGCACTTGCCAGTGCAAGTCTCAAGGCTCCATGCAAACCAGTGGACGGATTAAAACCCCTCCTTTCCTGCAGTCTTCAAGGAATTTCCGGGACAATTTAATTCTTTCTTTATTTAGGGGCCACACAGATGAATTTTTCCGCCTTACATTTTCCATATTTCAAGTTCCTATTGTTCAATCTTTCTAATAGCAGTTCCTCACCACTGAGGTTTTCGGTTTCTATGATTTTCTGGAAATAAAATAATCACAGGCTAGAAATAATCCATATTTTTAAAATACTATGCACTTAAACTAACATTAAAAAGTTTCTGTAATCTATATACTGTAATGTTCGTTTTGGTGAATGGGAAAAATGGAAATGAGATTTCAGAAATAAGAAACAAAAATGAAAATCCTGCTAGACTAGGAATGGCTTTACTGTAAAATCATTTTTCATGTGACGGCCTTGTAGCCAAACCTACAGTAAAAGGTGTAACCAAATTTCTTGTTTAGCCCTGAAACTGTGGCAGACAGGAGCTAGGAGTGCCTTTCTCCCCCTCTCACTCCTACACTGAGTGGGTCTAGCAGCTCATTCACTCCTACTTTTTAAACTATCTAATCTCCACTAGGCCAAAAATTCAACATACTATTATAAACTTCTTATGCAAATACTAATACCCTAGGCATATCTGTTCCCATCAATGACCACTTTAAGGGTCAGTAATTTATTATGCTGTATGTCTTTATTATCAGGAACAACGGCAGTACAAGTGCATGAACACTTGTTACAGTTCATAAATCACAAATAAGTTGCAATTCATATTCTTCCTAGTATATGCCTAGAAACACTTAATCACTGAAGGAATGATTATGGTGACAACACTATTTGATGTCTGATTGTATAGTAATCAAAGGAAGTATATTTTTATTATACATTCTGAAATTTTAAAATAACCTAAAATTTTGATTCTTAACGGTGCAAAGCTAGAAGCAATAAGGTTTGCAATGGGTGCCACAGAGAGAATTCTCTGATTTCTAAGGTTTTTCTTACCACCATTTCACATTTAGTTTCACAGTGCTTACCTTCTGATACTATAGTCTAAGACAGATGCTGCCAATAAGACCATGGTCAAAAATCCTTGCAAAAAATAGCCACACCTCTGCTGGAGATAAGCCCTATTGCAAATGAATCCCCAGAAAAAGTAGTGTGAGCACCTCACATCCTCTTCAGTGAAAATTCATTTCCCAAGTTGAACCTGCTTCTGAAGGTTGTGTAAAATAAAGTAGTTGACTCTCTGTCTGAAGCAGATGAGACAATTCCTTCCACTGACCGTGCTGTGGGAGCCGACTACTTCCAGCACAGGCATGATAACAAACAGCTGGCAAAGGCAGCGGGAAGGAATTACCCTCAGTGTCACAGCGTTTCTGCATGGGTTGTCTGACCACTGCCTGACACTTCTGGATGCTGAGGAGTGAAGGATTTATCTTACCCTTCTTGCCCATCTCAGCCTATTTGTAGGGACCGAGTATAAAATAGCTAAAAAAAAAAAAGGGTTAATTAGTTACTTTCTTGACCTTCCTGCATAGGCAGGGATGAAACCACAAATAAGTATCCCTGTGCTACAGTGTGTCCCTGTACTATGGCTGGGGTAGGATATTTATGCATCACTCTCAGCTGTCGACTATGCCTATCTTCTAACTCACTCCCTGTTGTATGTGAGCAGATTTTTTTTATTTTTCAGATCTACGCACTTTTCTGTTTTAGAAGATTTCTACAAAGAAATCTTGCTGTGGTAGACCGTTTGTCCCAGATTCTTTTCATACTTTACTGGCATTCATTTTATTGCTCTTGATTTACTTCACTTTTAGTGCCTGATCCTGTACTGTTTGAAATCAATGAGAATTATAAAATTAATTTAAATAAATGCATTCCAAAAAGTATCAAGAAGACAAGAACAGGCCTATGTTATCAGCATATCTGATGGCAGCATGCATATACAAAAGCCTGAAGGAAATATGCCTCTTTCTTACCTCCAGAATAGTATGTATGAAATGTTCTGAAAACTCTGGTATAAAATTAACATTTGCATCAGCTATGCTATCAATGTCAGCAACTCCTTCACTGGAAATTTCAGATCACCCAAGTCTTCCTTAAAATTGGACTGAGATGTAGCCCTCCCTGAGAAAAATATTTTCCTTCTGACTTGTGCTTTTCCATTTAGAATGTGTAAGGAGTTTAGTGTCCTTAGGAACTTTTGGTTTAGGTTAAAACTATGCAATGTCTTGAGAAATACCTAATTGTTTTTTTTGTTGTGAATCCATGGCATGAAATGGAAAACAACCTGGATATGCTTACCACTAATTTCTGCAAGAAAAAGGCATGTAAACAGGCTTGTATTGCTCACAGAATTTTTTTTTTTTTTAGTAATAGACTTGTTATTCAGTTACAGAGTTTGAAATTGATCAGTTTTGCCTGAAGTCCTCATCCGATTGTATAACTAAGATTCACAATTAAATAAAGCCTTCCAAAATATTATGCTTCCAATGTCAGTGGTATGAATAATTGAAAAATGAAGGTATTCTGCAATATATAAAATATGGGATCATTTTATTGACATTTAAATGTCAAGATAAATTTTAGCCTACCTATATAGCCTCAAGAAATGTTCTGGAAGATATATTTTCGATCTACTATAACGAAGAAGTGTTGCTTGATTTTTTGCAGCAAGTATTGCTACCTTAGCAAGATCTTAAAATGAGAGGCTTGAAAGATTTCAGGTGCAGCTTCTTAGTTTTTCCTTGCAATTTTGGTTTTGGATATACTGCTGAATCTCAAATTCTGATGCATTTAACTTGCTGACATGCTGATTTTAAAACTCAAAATCATTTCCTGGAAAATGTGGATAGCTAATACATACAGTTGAGCATAGGTTAAAAAGCACTTCCACAAAAAAAGTATCTCTGGATGTCACACTTGCACTTTGCTTTTACTATGCACTAAAAAACCCTCATGATAATGATGACCGAGAAACAAAATAACAGCAACAGAGCAGAATGCCGAAGAAATGATAAGAGACAAAACCATCCAGCTGTCAGGAAGGGAACAGTTTCCACAGAGTAACTACTCCATCTCAGGTCTCTCAATTCTGATATTTGATGAGGAGTACAAAACACCCTCCAAAGACTAAGATAGGGAAGAAAATTCATAATTCTACTGAATATCAAAACACATAATCTTTGGGAGAGTATGGTTACTTTCCCTCTACCAACTACTGTGTTCCACAAGTCAAAAATACGATGCATATCCCTTTTCCTTAGGTAGTAACCTCTCCTCTTTTCTCCTCCTCCACTAATATCCGTTTTACTTTGAAAGACTTTCACAGTCTTTGCTTACAGAGATGATCTGATAAAGACATACTTAAGCAATAAACATAGCTTTCAGATTTTATTTAGCTGCTAAAACTCCTGTTTCTATTTCAGAGATGAAGATGGGACAGTGACCCTGAAAATATGTAAGCATTTTTGTAGCTATAATAGCCAGTCAGGTAAAAGCTATTAGTGCTAAAACTTGTCCTTCAAAACCATTTTCTGTGAATGATTCCTTTTTAATATTATCATTACATTCAGTCCCCATGAAAATTTACGGTGTTAAATGTTGATTGCAAATGGGCAAACACAAGATGATTTTTAGTCCTTCCAATGGCTTTACTGACTATAAAAAGCAGGTTCAGTTATGCAAGTTACTTCTGAACACCTACGCTGAGCTCCTGCCAGGAGCCTGGCGCCATCCTTGCTGCAGTCGGATAAGGCAACCAAAATGTAGGACAGAACTGGGAAGGCCAGCAGTGGAGATGTCATCAGTGACATAAGGCAGTCTCCCCCTAGGTTTATTTTCATTCCCGCTTAATTACAGCTCTCTGGCAGAGCTGTGCATGTCTTCAAAGGCATTACCCTTATTTGTTAAAGCCTAATAACTTTTCTCCTGATCCAAAGTTCAAAAGTTGGTCCAGGCCAGCTATCAACATTAAGGGAGAGACTCCTTCAGAAATTTTGTCATCGCTTTCAGGTGAAATGGTTTCTGGTCTGCTGCTGAGTAGAGGGGCTTGGCAGTCCTCAGCTCTTGCTTCAGCCCAGTTAGTCTCAGGTTTGCTTTCATTCAACCCTATCCGATGCCATCTCAGTCTTCAGAAATAGCCCCAAATGGCACTGAAAAACCCAGTGTGTCCCTCCTTGCCCCAAGAGGAGCTTCTCTCCCCTTATCCAACCGTTTTAGACTTCAGTTACTAAGAAAGTAACACTTCACCTAAGGCATGTCACATAGTACAGGAAAACTTTATTTCTCCAGAATTGAAGATGTAATGGCATTTTAGCAAAAATGGCCAGATTGTTATATTAACTTGCAAATGAAATTTGGCTCATTCACCTGTTTCCCACTGCCCATTAACAAGTACATGCAGAGAACACCTTTCTGCAAGGTGACCTTATCCTTTTGACTTTCACAGACTCCTCCCAATAAGCAGATTTTGCCAGAAACCTCCTTAGCCTCTACTGCTATGTGATTATCACAGGACTTAAAACTGCAACAGGTTACACAGATGAGGCAATTAGTTAGTTTTAGCAATGTTCTTTAAACTTTGGCACTGTTCAGAATTCTGCTTTTTCTTTGCTCAGAATTGAGTAACGAACTGCTGTAAGGATTCACATCTCTTTTTAAGTTGCATTGGTCTCTTTTGGATAAACTAAGGAATATACCCCTTTACCACAAGAGTTAGTAGCCTCCTCCTAAACTCTGCACCGCCATCCCTTTTCTATATTTCCATGTATATTTACATACATAATCATTTACTGCAGAGAATATACCAAGGAGGTCATCTTCCTTTTATCTTTACTGGCTTCACTTTATATAGTGTCACAGATTAGAAAGACTCCTTGATACCAAAACAAGAAGGAAAATAACCAGAGAGAGTTGAGGATGTCTGTCAGTGCCTCCTAACTCAGTGGACTGAGTGCATACTGCTAACAGAGCAACTGCATTCTAAAATGGGTGAACCAGACAACACATTTCCCACCCATTTTTTCCCCACAAGAATGGTAAAAAGCCTTGTGAGAGATAGCTGTGCAGACATGGAAGAACACAAAATCCACCTCCTCCATCCACGTGCACTGTTTCAGCCTAAGCACAGGAAGCAGAGCTCATTCTGTTCTTACTGCATAGCCTTGATTCCTAGATCTGTGATAACGAGAGGAACTTATCTCAGTGGCCTCCTGACCTATGTACTTATTTTATCTTCAGCCAGATCCCAAACATTTGAAAATCATATGCCTTTATAAAAGAGAAGATGCAGAATCACCCTTTTGTCCTAATACGACAAATACTTCTGGAGCTCTTAAGCATCTGCATGATCTCCGTGACCTCATCGTATTCCAGAAATTTTGCACATTTCCTGGATACCACAGATCAATGAATGACATTTTCTCCTCACGTGATCTCTGAAATGCCAAGACAGAGTAGGCTGTGCAGCTTGACTGAAATAGCTTGAATTACAGAATCGTTTAGGTTGGAAGGGACCTCCGGAGATCATCTAGTCCAACCTCCCTGTTCAAGCAGGGTCACCTAGAGCATATTGCCCAGGATCACATCCAGAAGGGTTTTGAATATCTCCAGCGAAGGAGACTCCACCACCTCTCTGGGCAACCTGTTCCAATGCTCTGTCACCCTCACAGTGAAAGACGTTAGTAGTATGTTGAAAGTAGTAGTATGTTGAACATTAGTATTATGTTGAAAAGCTGGCCATTTATCTATGTGTTCAGTTCTTTGATTAGGCATGTGCTTGTGTGGAGAGTGCTTTAATATTGGCCAAATATCTTGCTACCCCCTTAAGTCAGCTTAAGATGATAGGAAAATACGAATATGGCCTATCTTACACAGCCTATCTTAGGAAGTGTCTCCTAGGAGGACTCACCTTCTGGAGATGCCTGCTTTTCTCCATTGGCTGCAAAAATGAAACTCAGCAGTCAAAGGCAGATGATCTCATCCCCACTATACACTTTTCAAAATGAACGATATGCATCTGCTCAATCTTATATGTCTACCAACTTGTATATAAACATAAATCCTGATAAAAACATCAGAATAGGAGTAATGGACGTAGCTTATTACTGATTTTTCCTTTTCTTTTTTCTTTTTTTTTCTTTTCCTTTTTTGAAAGCAGACATAAATGTAATCAACTGTTTGGAGTAAAAATGGTTTATTAGGACTGACCTCCAAAGTCTATCTTTGGTAGTTAATATTTTATTGGCCTGTATA